GGCAGTATCACTACGGAAGTAGGATTGCCCAACCTTCCTTCCGAGGAGTGGCTGGTGGGTTTGAACCACCAGCCTTCTGGTTAGCAGTCAAATGCCATAGGCACTATGCTAGTAGCAAAATGTCAGCCCCCAGATATTGAGAATTTGGGGTCAATAGACATCTGGAGGCCAACTTGACCCATCATTTCCTTTTATGATTGGGGAAACTGAGTTATTTACCTAACAAATTGCTCATTCATTCTGCAAATATTTACTCAAAATTTACTGTGTGCCAAGCACAGTTTTGGCCATTTTGAATCAGACAACAATATGATCCACTGTGCTGGGAATGACAAGTTGAAGAGGAATGGTGTGGCATTCATTGTCACAAAGAATATTTCAAGATCTATCCTGAAGTGCAATGCTGTCAGTGATAGGATAATATCCATATGCCTACAAGGAAGACCAGTTAATACTACTCTTATCCAAATTTATGCACCAACCACCAAAACCAAACATGAGGATATTGAAGATTTCTACCAACTTCTCCAGTCTGAAATTGACCAAATATGCAATCAAGATGTGTTGATCATCACTGGAAACTGAAATGCAAAAGTTGGAAACAAAAAAGAGTCACCAGTAGTTGGAAAATACAGCCTTGGTGATAGAAATAATGTTTGAGATCGCATGATAGAATTTTGCAAGACCAACGACTTATTCATTGCTGATATCTTTTTTCAACAACACAATACACAATACACGTAGATTTCACCAGATGGAATACAAAGGAATGAGATTGACTACATCTGTGGCAAAAGGCAATGGAGAAATTTACTATCTTTGGCTAAAAAAAGGCCAGGAGCTGACTGTGGAACAGACCACCAACTGCTCATATGTGTGTTTAAGCTGAAGACAATTAAAACAAGTCTATGAGAGCCAAAATATGACCTTGAATATATCCCTCCTGAATTTAGAGACCATTTAAAGAATAGACTTGATGCACTGAACACCAATGACCAAAAACCAGAGGAATTGTGGGATGACATCAAGAACATCATCCACGAAGTGAGAGGTCATTAAAAAGACAAGAAAGGAAAAAAAGATCAAAATGGATGTCAGAAGAGACTCTGAAACTTGCCCTTGAGCAGAGAGTAGCTAAAGCAAATGGAAGAAAAGAGCTGCACAGAAGATTTCAAAGAGCAGCTCGAGCAGACAAAGCCAATTACTGTAATGAAATGTGCAAAGACCTGGAGTTAGAGAACCAAAAGGAAAGAACACGCTCAGCATTTCTCAAGCTAAAAGAACTGAGGAAAAAGTTTAAGCCTCGAGTTGCAATATGGAAAAATTCTATGGGCAAAATATTGAATGATGCAGGAAGCATCAAAAAAAGATGGAAGGGATACACAGAGTCACTATACCAAAAAGAATTGGTCAATGTCCATCCATTTCAGGAGGTGGCATATGATCAAGAACCAATGGTATTGAAGGAAGAAGTCGAAGCTGCATTGAAGGAATTGCCGAAGAACAAGGCTCCAGGAATTGACGGAATACCCACTGAGATGTTTCAACAAATGGATGCCCTACTGGAGGCACTCACTCAGTTATGCCAAGAGATTTGGAAGACAGCTACCTGGCCAACTGACTGGAAGAGATCCATATTTGTACCTATTCGAAAGAAAGGTGATCCCACAGAATGTGGAAATTATCAAACAATATCATTAATATCAACATGCAAGTAAAATTTTACTGAAGATAATTCAAGAACGGTTGCAGCAGTATATTGACAAAGAGCTTCCAGAAGTGCAAGCTGGATTCAGAAGAGGACGTGGAAGAGGGACATCATTGCTTATGACAGATGGATCTTGGCTGAAAGCAAAGAATACCAGAAAGATGTTTACTTATGTTTTATTGACTATGCCAAAGCATTCAATTGTGTGGATCATGACAAACTGTGGTTAACATTGAGAAGAATGGGAATTCCAGAACACTTAATCATACTGATGAGGGACCAGGAGGCTGTCGTACAAACAGAACAAGGGGATACTTGGTTTAAAATCAAGAAGGGAGTGTGTCAAGGTTGTATCCTTTCACCATACTTATTCAACTTGTGTGCTGAGCAAATAATCCGAGAGGCTGGACTATATGAAGAAGAATGTGCCATCAGGATTGGAGGCAGACTCATTAACAACCTGCAATATGCTGACGACACAACTTTGCTTGCTGAGAAGTGAGGATGACTTCAAACACTTACTGATGAAGATTAAAGACCACAGTCTGCAGTATGGATTACTCAATATAAAGAAAACAAAAATCTTCACAATTGGTCCAATAAACAGCTTCATGGTGGAAGGAGAAAAGATTGAATTTGTCAAGGATTTCATTTTACTTAGTTCTACAATCAACACCAATGGAAGCAGCAATCAAGATATCAGATCACATATTGCACTGGGAAAATCTGCTGCAAAAGACCTCTTTAAAGTGATGAGGAGCAAGGATGTCTCCTTGAAGACTAAGGTGTGCCTAACCCAAGCCATGGTATTTTCAATTTCTTATGCAAGTGAGAGCTGGACAATGAATAAGGAAGACCGAAGAAGAGTTGATGCTTTTGAGTTGTGGCACTGGCAAAGAATCCTGAAAGTACCATGGACTGCCAGAAGAAGCAACAAATCTGCTCTGCAAGAAGTGCAGCCGGAACGCTCTTTGAAACTGAGAATGGCCAGATGTCGTCTCACCTACTTTGGTCATGTTGTCAGAAGGAACCATTCTCTGGAGAAGGATATCATGCTTGGTAAAGTGGGGGGTCAACAAAGAAGGGAAAGGCCCTCAACGAGATGGATAGACAAAGGGCTCCAACGATGGGCTCAGGTATACCCCAAATCATGAGGCTGGCACAGGACCAGGCAGTGTTTCGTTCTGCTGTGCATAAGGTCACTATGAGTAGGAGACAACTCAACAGCCCCTAACAACAACAATAATCAAAACTTAGCAATGGGCCTAACAAATAGTTGGTACTCAGTCTGTTGTTTGGCTGAAAGCTGAGCCACATGGGTTAGTTCAGTTCCAGGCTTAAAGGGTGTCTAAGGGCCATAGTCTTGGGAGTTCCACCAGTCTCTATCAGACCAACAAGTCTTTTTTGAATTGTTAAGTTGTGTTCCACATTTTTCTCCCACTCTATCCAGGACCTACTATTCTATCCCTTTCAGCAGTGGTAGGTAGGCACCACCTAATTCTTCTGGTTTAAAGGTCATGGAGGTTGGGGTTCATGTGGTCCATAGTCCTTTGGACTAATTGTTTCCTTGCATCTTTGATTTTCTTCACTCTTCTTTGCTCAGGATGGAGACAGACCAACAGTTGCACCTAAGATGGCGGCTCACAAGCTGTTAAGACTCCAGCCAAGCTAGGATGAGCAAAACCACAAGGGAGGTATCCCCTCCTTAGAACAATCAACCAAACAAAATCAAAAGGGCAGCATTTGCCCAGGGATAAAGCTCAGAAGGCAGAAAGGGATAGGAAAGAAGGATGAATGGACATGATAAACACAGGAAGTGAGAATAATGTTACCTTGTGGAGATTGCAATCAATGTCACAAAATGTGTATGAACTGTTGAATAGAACGCTAATTTGCTCTGCAAACTTTCACCCAAATCACAATAAAAAGTTTTTTTAAAAAAAACCTTTAGTAAATGCACATCTGTTTAAATGACATTCCAACTACAACATTGTGGATGTGGGGTGTTGCCCAGGATTTGCCCTCAGGATCCAGCCAGTCTTTCCCTGCAGCTTCTGGGAGTTGGTTGCTGATAACGCATTAATTCAGTCCTTCTCTGGAAACTACCCTCCATCTCAGGAAGCAGCCTTGTCAAAGGTTACACACGCATCCCCAGGTGCAGCCTGTACCCGCCACTGAAAGGGCATAAATTGTAGCGCCGCACAACGCCCCACCCCCGTCACTCCTCGGATGGAAGGTTGGGCAATCTACTTCCGTAGTGATACCGCCTGGGGAAGCCAAGGAGTGGGTAGCTATGAGTCGGATCCAGCTCCATGGCAGTGAGTTTTTGTTGTTGTTGTTTGTTTTGGAAATTTGGAACAACTCTGCTGGGCCATCCCAGGCTCAGAGCGCTCCTTTCGGTTATAGCAGCCCAGCTCTTACCCACTGCGCTACGATGGCTCCTTACAGAACACACTTAAGCACTAAATACTGGTTGTTGAAATGAATGTATGGATAAGCCGAACCTGTGCTGGATGCTGGGGTCACAAAACCTCCCAGCACCCTGCAACTTGCCCTTAAAACGGCGGATCGCGAGTGTCCCTGAGTCCCCGCCCCTCCCGGCACGCCCCTAGGTCAAGGCAGGGGGCGGAGCGCTGAGGAGGCCACAGCTGCATAATGAGACTACCAGCGGTACGGCTCTTGCAGCTGGGCCGGGTGCCATATGCCGAAGTTCTGGAGCTGCAAGAGTACTGGCTGAAGCGGCTGCAAGCAGAGCCAGACACCAAGGCCCGACCAGGGGATGAAGCGGGCGCGCTACTTCTCAGCGAGCCCGCAGGTCCTGTGTATACAGCTGGGCTGCGCGGCGGCCTGACGCCTGAGGAGGCAGCGCAGTTGCGGGCGTTGGGCGCCGAGGTGCGCGCCACCGGCCGCGGCGGCCTTGCCACTTTCCACGGCCCGGGCCAACTGCTCTGCCACCCCGTGCTCGATTTGCGGCGCTTCGGCCTGCGCCTGCGCACTCACGTGTCGGCACTGGAGGCGTGCGCTGTGCGCCTGTGCGAGCTCCAGGGCCTGCCGACTGCGCGCGCGAGACCTCCGCCCTACACTGGGGTCTGGCTGGGTGAACTCAAGATATGCGCGATCGGTGAGCGCCAGTGGGTGGGGCTGAGCTGGGTCAAGGACTAGGAGCGGGGGCGGGCGTGCTGGACCAATGGAGGCTGAGGGCAGAGCTCGGGCTGCAAGGAGGTGTTACTGGCGCGCGCTTTGAATCAGAGCTGGTTTCATTTAAGAGTTTTTAGGACTCTAAATAGATATATATAGGCTTTCAGAGCACATTTAGTCCAACACTCATTTGTACAGATGAAGAGTTATAGAAGTGACTTGCCAGGAAATATCCCATGAATCAATGTCAGAATAAGTGTGCTTAGCAGTTTTTATACTTATTTTTTTAAGCAACACAGACTTGGTGTTAAAGGACATTTCCTAGAAACCCTGTTATACATAATAAGTGCAGCTGCACCTTCCACTTTCTCCCCTTCCCAAATCTGCACAACTCTTCGGGTTCTCCAGCAACAAAGTTGAAAAACCAGTGATCCACTCCAGTCCTCTCGTTGAACTGAGGAGGATCCTGAAGCCAGGGAAGGGGAGGGCATCTGTTCTAAGATCCTTTTGCTTCCCTTGCAGGAGTCCGCTGTGGGAAGCACATCACATCACACGGGCTGGCTCTGAACTGCTGTACGGACCTGACGTGGTTTGACCGCATTGTCCCCTGTGGGCTGGTGGGGACAGGTGTTACTTCCTTAAGTAAGGAGCTCCAGAGATATGTCACTGTGGATGAAGTAATGCCACTTTTCCTTGAGGCCTTTAAGGAAACCTACAAGTGCACACTGACTTTAGAGGACTGCCTCAACTGAAGGTTGCTTCCACAGCTGGAATGGCCCTACCTTGGAAAGAAACTGAACCATTGTTTCCATCTGTATTCAAGTTTATTTAATCTATTCCTCACCTATCCCAGAGATCCTAGGTGTATATAAAAAGCATCACACAGTATAAATATAAGGGATTGTTGTTACTATTGACACCAGTTTCTCAGTTTAGAGAAACTTACATGTCATTTCTCAATTATTCTCAATTATTTACTACCTTGATACTGTACCTAATTGTGCAATCCTGGACTCCATTTCCTTTGTTTGGGTAGCCATCAAGTCTCTGGATGGCCCAGGTGAAGGTGACATGATGTGGTGCTTTTTTTTGTCAAGAGGCCTGGGTGCTTTCTATAATAAAGGGAAGCAGAAAAAGCCTCTTTAAAGAATAAAGAGAGGTCCTGTCTTCTTGGATTAGATTCCTAGGATAATTTAGCTATATTTAGTTGGGGTAACTTGAGCAGGCCAGAGGCTGGAGGAAATATAAGCATGATTTCCCTTCTCCTACTGTACAAATGCCAGAGATTGTTGTTAGGTGCCGCGGAGTTGCCTCCAACTCATAGTGACCTTATGTACAACAGAACGAAACACTGCCCAGTCCTGTGCCAGCCTTATGATCCTTGCTATACTTGAGCCCATCATTGCAGCCACTGTGTCAATCCATCTCATTGAGGGCCTTCCCCTTTTTCATCGACCCACCACGTTACCAAGCATGATACCCTTCTTCAGGGAATGGTCCCTTCAGACAACATGACCGAAGTAGGTGAGACAAAGTCTGGCCATTCTCACTTCCAAGGAGCATTCTGCTGCATTTCTTCCGGGACACATTTGTTAGTTCTTTTAGCAGTCCATGGTACTTTCAGTATTCTTAGCCAACACCACAACTCAAAATTATCAACTCTTCTTCGGTCTTCCTTATCCATCGTCCAGCTCTCACATGCATATGAAGCAATTGAAGATACCATTGCTTGGGTTAGGCGCACCTTAATCTTCAAGGAGATATCTTTGCTTTTCAGCACTTTAAAGAGGTCTTTTGCAGCAGATTTGCCCAATGCAATACTTAGTCTGATGTCTTGACTGCTGTTTCCGTTGGCATTGATTGTAGAACTAACTAGTATGAAGTCTTTGACAACTTCAGTCTTTTCTCCTTTTATTGTGATGCTGCTTATTGGTCCAGTTGTGAGGATTTTTCTTTTCTTTATATTGAGGTGTAATCCATACTGCAGACTGTAGGCTTCAATCTTCATCAGTAAATGCTTTAAGTCATTCTCACTTTCAGCAAGCAAAGTTGTGTCGTCTGCGTATCGTAGGTTGTTAATGAACCTTCCTCTAATCCTGATGCCATGTTCTTCTTCATATAGTCCAGCTTCTTGGCTTATTTGCTCAGCATGCAGATTGAACAAGTATGGTTAAAAGATACAGCCTTGACACACTCCCTTCCCGATTTTAAACCACGCAGTATCCCTTTGTTCTGTTCAAACAATAGCCTCCTGGTTCAGGTTCCTCATGAGCACAATTAAGTGTTCTGGAATTCTCATTCTTCTCAATGCTATCCATATTTTTTTATGATCCACACAATCAAATGCTTTTGCATAGTCAATATAACACAAGTAAACGTCTTTCTGGTATTCTTTGCTTTCATCCAAGATCCATCTGACATCAGCAATGGTAGTCCTTGTTCCATATCCTCTTCTAAATCCAGCTTGCGTTTCTGGAAGTTCTCTGTCAGTATACTGCTGCAATGATTTTTGAATTATCTTCAGTAAGATTTTACCTGTGTGTGATATTAATGATATTGTTCAATAATTTCCACAATCCATGGGATCACCTTTCTTTGGAATGGGTACAAATGTGGATCTCTTGAAGTCAGTTGGCCAGGTAGTTGCCAGAGATAGAAATGAGTTTTTCTTATTTGAGATCTCTAAGTTTCTAAAGCTATGCATTAGTTATCTATTGCTATGTAACAAATTGCCCCAAAACTTAGCAACTTAAAAACAACAATAAATATTTATCATTTCATATATTTTCTGTGAGTCGAGAGTTTGGAAGATGCTTAGCTGGGTGATTCTAGATCAGGATTTCTCATGAGTTTGTAGTCAAGATGTCAGCCAGGGCTGCTGTCATCTGAAGGCTTGACGGAGGCTGGGGAATCAGCTTCCATCATGGTTCATTCACATGCCTGGTTGGTGTTGATTGTTGACAGGAAGCCTTCGTTTCTTATTATGTGGACTTCCTAATAAGGCTGCTTGAATGTTCTCATGACAGGGAACCTGACTTTCCTTAGAGCAATTGATCCCAGACAAGGTGGAAGCCAAAGTCTTAGGACCCAGCCTTAGAAGTTACACAGTCATTTCTGCAGTATCCTTATGAGTTAGCTCTATTTGGTGTGGAAGGGACTACATACATGAGGGTGACAAAAGTTGAGGATCATTAGGGGCCATCTTGGAGGCTGGCTTCCATAGCCTATTAAAGTGGAAAGAGCGCTGAATGAGAAATCAGGTCACTGTGGTTACAGTCTGTGAACAAGTTGTTTACCCTTTCTAGGCTTCAGTTTCCCTTTAGACCAGTGCTGTCCCATAGAAATATGATGTACCACATTGAAATTTTACATTCTCTAGTAGCCACATAAAGTAAAAAGATGTTGAGTTGGTGTATGTTGTGGTGTATATATTTTCATAAAAAAAATTATTTAAAAAAGCTATAGAAACAGCCAATAAGCACATGAAAAGATGCTCAAACACACACAGAAAGTAACAAATGACATTAATTTTAATAATTATTTTATAATTGTAGTCCAGTATATCCAAAATATTTTCAATGTAAAGCAATATAATAGTATTATTAATGAGATATTTGACATTCTGTTTCTTATACTAAGTCTTTGAAATTTATTGTGTGTTTTATACTGACAGCATACCTTATTTCGGACTAGCCACATTTCAAGTGTTCAGCAGCCACTGGTAGCTGCCATACTAGGTAGAGTAGCCTTGTCAAACCAAAACCAAACTCACTGCCATCAAGTCAAATCCAACTCCTAGTGTCCCCATTGAGTTTCCAAAGCTGTAAATCATTACAGAAGAAGACTGCCTCATCTTTCTTCTGCAGAGTGGCTGGTGGGTTCAAACCACTGACCTTTTGGCTAGCAGCCAACTGCTTTAACCACTACACCACCAGAGCTCCTTAGAGTAGCCTTAGAGAATATCGTATCTAAAGTCTTTTTGAGCTCCCAGGGTTCTGTGGCCTCACTGACTGCTGTGAAATAAAGGTGACTCCTTCCACATCTGAGGTCTGATTTTTGACTCATTGCATGATTTATATCAGTTATTGAAGCTGAAAGGGACTTTACACGTTATTATTTATCATTATACAGAGATTCCTATCCTGCTTACCTGCCTCTGGACCAGGTTTAGGAAGAAACTTGCTCAAGGTCACATAGTAAATCGGTGCCAAAGCCAGGACTAGATCCCAGGTAGAAGCCCTTTTCTCATGCTCTTTCCTGCTGTGTATACTGACTTAGAGCTCAGAACGATGTACTTTACCTGCCATGGACACTCAGTCAGTATTAGTTGATTGATGGTTTGGTTTGTGTACCCATAATTTGGCTCATATCCTTTCTTGGCCTTAATCTCCCATCCATGGAGCAAGCACTGCTGTTTTATTTCACAGGATACAGGGGGTAAAATGTAGTTGATAATTACCTTGGAGTAGTACTGCCAAGAAGGGAAATAATTATTCCAGGAAGAGTGGAGTTCTATTCTCATGGTTGGAAGGCTGTGCACAGTGTTCCCATCTGATACTTGGCCTCCCTCTCTAGCAGCCCTAATCATACAGTCTGTTTGTGAATGCCTTCAATGACAGAGAAAGAAACCACCATTTACTCAGCACTCATTGATAGTGCCGGCTACTATGTAATATGCCCTCTTAAGCATATTCTCACATTCGACAGCCTATCCCATTATTCTGGACCACAGAGAATACATCTACACGGTGTAGTGGCTGAGTTAACCTTCCTTAGCCTCAAATGCACCACATGAAACAAGGACAGTTACAGTATCTACCTCAAAGTATGGGAAGAATTAATTGCAGATAAAGTGTTGAGCATAGTGTTGGCACAGAGTAAATACTCAGTAAATATCGTTATTATTATCATCACTGTCCTCCATGAGCTTTCTTCTCTGTGGAAATTATCCCAGTTCCTTTAACCTCCCCTCAAGGCAGTGGGCTCCACAAGGGTTGAGCTATGTCTGTTTCCCTCTGTATGTCTAGCACATGGTAGTTGGCCTGACATATAGAAGGTTATTAGTAAATACTAAGTACAACTGAACTATTTGCAGTCTCTTTCCTATCCTGCTTACCTGCCTCTGGACCAGGCCTCATTTAGTTGTGTCCCATTAAGTGCAGCACCCACAGCCCAGGACAGCACTCTTAGTGTGGACAAACTAGCACAGAGCATGGTAAATCATCACACCCCACCTTATCCTGGACTGAGGGGAACACGCTGGCATTCCTAGGCTGGAGCTGGCCTGCAGATATGTTCTCTCTTTTTTTTTTTTTTCCAGAGCTCATACAGGTTTATTTCATTTAAACAGAACAGAGAGGAATAATGGAGGTGCTTTGGTTGGAAAAATGTATAAAAGGTTAATGGGCGTGGGAAGGGGGTTGTGTGGGGGGTTACTAGGGGTGGAAAGGGAGTTGTGGAGGATTAATTGGGGGTGGAAAGGGAGTTGTGGGGAGTTAATGGGGGTGGAAAGGGAGTTGTAGGGGAATGTTCAGGGATATTTCTGCCATTCAACCTTAGTCCTCTTCTCACATGAATCCCCATATTCATTATCAGCATTCATCTTCCTTTCTTTTTATTCAATAGCTGCCATCATACTGCCTACTTTCATGATTGTTTTCCTATTTATTTCACCCTTATATTATTTATTTATTTATTATGATTTGAGTGAAAATTTACTGAGCAAATTCACTTTCCATACAGCAGCTCACAT